GATTGCGTTTAAGCTTTTTTAAAAATTTATTTCTTTTTAACCTGCCTGCACCTGCCCTCTCCATCCTGATCAAATATGAAACAGACAAATTTAGCAGAACTTTGCTTATTTGCTGTTTGTCTTTCTCTGACATAATTTAACTTTCTTGCCAATAGAGCTACAAAAATGAGTAAATTTGAACCGATGCAAAAGGTGGGAGAAGAGAGAAAGAAGGAAAAGGAAAGCCTAGAAAGAGCAGCTCCAGTGGGCAATATGGGCTCATGCCAAGGTTGTCTCTGCAGAGGACAGGATTCTTAAATCTCTTTCCCAAATTATCCCAAGACACTCAGGACAAAGATTCCTAAATGTGATGGATATGAACTGCATCCAACAGATAGTGAAACTATACTTTAGGAAAGACATCTGAGTTTTGCTGTGTATCTCATTGTCTCATGCAGCTGGAAGCACTGCAAACCCTAAGGTGAAATGTAGTTAAACAGAAGTAACTTAAGGAGACTAAAAACATTTTTCTATTTAGGAACAAGCAAATTATTATAAAATAGTTATTGCAAAATGATGGGTATAAACAGCCACAGTAGTGATTTCCTTGTACAACATGCAAAAAGAAATAGGAATGTAAAAAGTAGCATATTCTCTCCCATTCCTCAAAATATCATCAGTAATTCCTTAATTTCCTAAAATAAAGCCACGGTGAATTAAATGGGTTATACGCGTCTATTAGGGGGATTATATATTGTAATCACAATTACAGGTCTTAAAATAAAGCTATTTCTAATCCCTCCAAAAGATGCTTAATAATGATTAGATTACTGAGGGACTGATTAAAGGAAGATATTAGCTTTAGAAGCAGCCACAGTGAGCAAATTATGTAATCCAAATATGGTTTGGAAAATAGAAGCACTTTCCAATTTAGAGACATGTTAAAAGTGAGTCCATACCAGAATCCCCTTACTTTTCAGTTAGGCTTTGTCCTTACAGAGAAATAAAAACAAACCAAACCAAAACAAAACAAACACAAAGAAAAAACCCAGCAAAAAACCCCCAAAAAGATAAATAAGAGACTTTCAAGTTTTTTCAGCAAAGTAGCCTGTGCTCCATAGTAACCCTAAATCTTTTCATTATGAATCATAGAACCACAGCCTGGTTTGGGTTGGGAGGGACCTTAAAGCTCATCCAGTGCCAGCCCTGCCATGGGCAGGGACACCTTCCACTATTCCAGGTTGCTCCAAGCCCCTCCAACCTGGCCTTGGGCAATTCCAGACCTAGTTAAGCCCATATCTTGATTTGACATGTGATGGTAAGGACACAAGCAGGTGAATTTCCCAGTGCTACCTCAGATCATTCACCCTGAACAGCCCTAAGAGGAGAAAGCAGCTTTGGAGACTCTCTCCTCTCGCTGCTCTGGAATCACATTTTATTTATGCCAGTAATTCACACTGACATCTCATTTAAAATGAAGATTTGTAAGTCTAAAAGAGAGGAGGACTCATCTGCCTCTTCTAGGAATAAACCAACAAAAGGACATTAATCTAAAATGGAAAGAAAATATTAAGTATAATCTTTCATTTTTCTCTTTTTGAACTATGGTACGGAGTTTGCATTGTGGCAGATAATAAGACAAAGCAGGACAAATGGGAAACCCTCTGGAGTCAGTGGCAATGCTCTCCTTGACATCCATAAAATGAAGACTTGGCCCTAGGCATTTGAATCTGATTGTGAGATACAATTGCAATAAGAATGGCTGAACAGGGATAAAGCTCCAAAATATGTTAAATCTGCTGCCACAGAAGACAGGAAATGATAGTTCCCTTTCAGTGACATGCTGAAGGAATTGCATTTTAACAATATGCAGAGATGGACAGAAAGGAAGGAGGCTGTCCAGAAAAGACCTCATTTAGGAGAAAGGAATAAAATATTTTTAGCTACCCTACTGCCTTCCAAAAGAACAGCTTGTGTGTTCTGTACTACCCCAGAACTACTTGCTTATGTTAACAGAGCAATGTTGGTAATGGAGCAGCAAATGACTTCAACACTTTGCTGCAAATAAACTCAGCTGAGTTTCAAATGAAAAGAGTGACTGGGAGAAGAGGCAATTTCTTTAACTTCCACTAAACTTGTATTTTATGTGAAACTTGGCATTCTGGTAACTAGCTGGGCCTTTACTATTGATTCCCATAGTAGACTTTTCAGCTTTGTCTAATGAGAAAACTTAATTTTATCTGTTCCTTTATATAGAGTCACAATTACATAAAGGTGCAGCTTGAAGCACAGAACACATGCAGCCCTTCCAGCCTCTCCATTCCTGCAAACTCCCCTAAGAACACAGAGCTCAGAGCACAGATTCCTGGCCAGGTGTGCAGTGAACCAGACATGTACAGAACAGTGCATCCCAGGCAAAGGCAGGACTGCATTCTGATATGTTAATCATTAAATGATTAAAATTATATTTGTGTTTGAGTTTTGTTGTAGTTCTTGTGAATTTGACAAACCGGTGGTCAGGACAATGCCTCTGTCCTCACAGCTCACATGGGACAGAACCCCAGGACACCTCAGAGAAATCTGATCCCCAAAATATAATTAAACAAACTGCAGCAGCACAAATCACCAAGGCATGGGAGAGACTGAGAGCACTGCAGTGGCACAGCCTGGGGGGAGCAGTGTGCAGGAAACAGCGTGGCTCAAAGTGCCTCTGGTTTTTCAGCAACCCCTGAAAAGCTTGAGGAGAAACAGCAGCTGAACAGGTGTTGAGCTCCCTTATATAAACATTCTATGGAAATTAATAAGGATGAGACTATTAAGAGCAGGAATGATCATTGAATTAAAGTGCTAAGCAAAGGTTCAGAAGACAAGAGTCTAATTTCCACCTTTATAAAAAAAACAAACATGTGAAAACATGGGAGTCAAAGGGACTTCTCAGGTTGAGAAGTCTCTTGGATCAAGCTTAAATTTTGAAACTATTTACACTCACAAGAACCCGTGAGCAGCAACCTCTCTAGTCTCTGGAAAAAAATTACTTAAAATGCAAACACTGAGAACATCTGGAGAGTTCTCCCATAAGCCTTTCCAGCCCTCAGCTAGACCAACTAATTTTCTTTCAGGTGCTTTACTATAGTAAACCAAAATCCATGCAACTCTCATGATAATGGAATATACAATTCTGCATTAATTATTAATTCATAATATTTTGTATCTGTTGTATGGCAATTCTCTCTGTATTCTTTGCCTCTGATGAGCTCCTGTTTACCTTGAATAAGTTTTACAGTTCTACAGTTTTTCATCAGGATGAGCAGCTGAATAGTGTCACTGGTAATTTTTTCCCCTGCTTGCCTGTCTGTCTTACAAGTGCAAAATAAGGTCCTGGATAGATAAATGAACCTCTTATTCCAATTTTTCTAATAACATTTCCAACCTTTTTCCTTTCTTTGAGGAGATTCTAATAATACATCCATTTTCAAATTTCCCTTTATAATCTTCAAAGCATGTAAAACTACAAACCTAAGCATTTCACCTTTTAGTTTCCTACACTGAATATTAACACAAATTTAGTGGATTTTGTTGTATATTTAAAAGCCAATTAATGTACTCTTGCAGTTACATTCTGCTCTTCAAAATTCAGTAACAGCTATAAAGCAAGTTCTAGTTCTCTGAAACTGAAATAGCTTTAGAACTTCTAAAATAGTTTTGTAAGCACTGAGCATGTGAAACTAAGGAACTAACAGAGGATTTACAAATTAAAACAAGTTGATGATATTCAGGTGTGGTTAATATCATGTAATCAAAACCAAATACACCTGTTCCTCAGTTTGGGACTTACTTAAATTAAAGCACTCAGCCTAATGACAATTTTACCCTTGATACAGCCCAATGTTGCTTTGCAGTTTTAGGAAACACATTTATAAAATATTTATTAATCAGCAAACAGCGGATGTTTTCTTTAGATTAATTATTGGCCAAAGGAAAAGGAAGGAGTCTGAAGGAAAAAAAGTTGTGTCTGATGCTTGGTTTAAAGCAGAGAGCAGAAGCACATGAAAAAGAATCTACGTGACTTATTAAAGACATTATTTTGAAAGGAATAAGAAAGTTCCTTTAAATGAAGGAGCAAATGAACCAATCTGGTTATAAAGCACAACATCTCAGAACTACTTTGAGGCCACCATGGAAGGCCAAACAAAACCCGAAAAACATCTTTGAAGGGAAACACAGGACACATCCTATACTTAATATGGAAACACAGGACACATCCTCTATTTAATATTTAAACACAGGACACATCCTATACTTAATATGGAAACACAGGACACATCCTCTATTTAATATTTAAACACAGGACACATCTTATATTTAATATTTAAACACAGGACACATCCTATATTTAATAGCGATATGCCTGACACAGGGCAGGGAAAACAGAGCAAGAATGTCAGCCCTACATGCTCGTTGAGCAAACCCCACCCAGCCCTGCAGAGCATGGCATGTGGACTGTGCAGGGTGACAGCAAGGGACAGCCAGGCAGGAGCTGTGCACATCAAGGGACAGCCTGGCAGGGGCTATGGGACAGCAAGGGACAGTGTGGCAGGGTCTGTGCACATCAAGGGACAGCCAGGCAGGAGCTGTGCACATCAAGGGACAGCCTGGCAGGGGCTGTGCACATCAAGGGACAGCCTGGCAGGAGCTGTGCACATCAAGGGACAGCCTGGCAGGGGCTGTGCACATCAAGGGACAGTGTGGCAGGGGCTGTGCACATCAAGGGACAGCCTGGCAGGGGCTGTGCACGGGAAGGACAGGACCAGGCCAGCTCGGTGGCTGCTCCGAGGGGCACGGGGAGCTCCGTGCCGGTGTCCCCGATCCCGCAGCAATCTCCGCCCGGGCTGGGCTGGCACCGAGCCGGGGTGGCTGCGGGTCCCGCACGGCCGCAGCTCGCTGTGCCCTGCCGGAGAGCAGTGTGACACCGGCCAGCAGCGCCAGCCCTTGTGCCGGACAGCGGCTCCCGGTTTGCTCACCTCCCTCGTTATCCTTGCTGTCGGCACAGGCGGTTTCCATGGCGACGCTGCATCCCGGCCCCCTCCAGCCGCTCTGGCAGACGCACTGCCAGCTGTTCTGGCCCAGCGTGCACCTCCCGTTGCCATTGCACAGGTCCGGGCAGCCATCTGGGAGGACAAACGGACAAGGTGAGCCCCGGGCACCCCCTCCCCGCTGCGCTCAGGCCGTGTCACTGTGCAGACAAAAAGGCTCGGTCCTTCCCCTTCCTCGGTGAAGGAAGGGGACACCCTGCAGAAATGGGGAGCTAGCTCAGGAGCCCTACCTGCGGCAACACCTGTTTTCAGAACCCTCTGAAGGTCCAGACCTTGAGCTGATAGAAATGACAGTCTGCTGACAGATCTGTCTCATTTTTCCCTCTGAATGTGTGTACACATGAGGGAGAACATCTTCAACAAGCTCATCATGCTCAGAGGACTTTTTGTACCAAGTGTTGCATCATTCTCCAGAACGTGTCTAAACAGAAAGTGTAAATAAATACTTTTATTTATTTAAATAAATTAAGTAATATTTTCCTTCGTTGATGGTAATTTTAGAATACCTACTTATTTAACACTAAATTTACTTATATTTTGGTGTCACATCTTACACTTTCTGAAAAACATATTAGAAGAGATATACCCTCAAAGATGACTGTTTTGAATTGACTACGAATATGACATGACTTATTGTATAGCAAGAGCCAAATTGGGAACAAAAATATTAATTAGTTAAACTGCTTACATGTTCTAACAAATGTCCATAGGTGATAGAATACCTCAACTCCTTTCTCCTGTAAGTAAATGAGTCTCAGGAGACACTACTGTGTCTTACTGAATATTCATTATGAAAAAAGGTAAGAAAACCAAACTGCAGCCTTGGTAAATACAACCAGATCCATCAACACCCAATCCACACAAGCAAAGGTATTTGTCTGTGGAGTGACAGATTTGAGGGCTGCAGCTAACCTCTCCCAGCACCTCTTTGAGCAGGAGGAAGGCTGTGCTGCCTGACAATATATGTGTGCTTTCACAAAGCTGTTCAGAAAGCCACAGCTCTGAGTTTATCTCCTCCTGCTCCTCCCAGCTGCCTTGGCTGTAGGCAGGTGAAGTCAGAGAGCAGTTTCTCTGACCCCAGACTCATTCTCACAATGCTGCAGGAGCTTCACATACAACAAAGTGAAACCCCTGGAACTCACACAGCTGGTATCACAAGAGGTCAAAGACTATTCAGTTGACATTACAAGAAAGCTGTCAGCAGACAGAAACAAGTCCTACAATTTTTATTTCAGCGATGTTGTGTATTTTTAAAAAATGCCTCTTTCACTTAAATTTAAGGTTATTTTTCCACTACATACCTTAGCTTAAAAAAAAAATCAGTTACTTTTGCAGCACAGGTAATAGATTTTCAAGATGCTTAGTTTATCTCTTCCACTTGTCAGGTTGTTTGAATGACCAAAATGATAATGTTTGAGGGGAGGCAGCACGGTGTAGGACAAATTATTTGTTTTAAATGAAAACCAAATAGTAATTGTGAATATACCCATGTGGTTGGTTTTCTACTGAGGCACCGACAAGAATTAAATCACTGAAGCAGTTTGCCTTGCAGCGTCTGAGCAAAATGAAAACACGAACAGTAGGGAGCTAGCAAAATCCCTGAAAAGTTTTAAGTGCAGCTGGGGATTAATGGACATGACTTTGCGTTTAGAGAAGAGAGGGAAGGCAGCATCACTGCCACAGACATGGTGTTGCTAGGAAACACGATGCTACCTCCACAGAGCTTATTTAACTGCAGCCTTCCAAAGACAGACCTGGTGTTTGAGTAGCATAAATATCAGAAGGAAGGGAAGGAACAGCAGTACACTACAATAAGATCAGAGTGCTTGTACAATAATGTCTTCCTTAAAAGATCTATTAAGTTAATGATGAATTAGCTTTGAAACAGCTTTAAGTAATGGACAACTAATTAAGTATTTTGCACAGTTATGTCTCTGTACATGCCTATATGGACTTCTGGTTTTGCCTGTCTGCAAGAAAGTATCTATACAGCATTCTAGTCTGTCAGGCCAACCAGAAAACAGAGCTCCATTATGATGTGGTAATAACAGTTTTCTTCTAAAAAAGGCTTGTATTTAGGAATTGCACTGACTATCTCTTTTTAAATTTTCCTACCCGTGCATGTGAGCAGTGATTATTACTGATGAACATCTTCTGCACACACAGGATTTCCACATATCTCATGGGCTTGGTGGTCATCAAGGGATTTGCAGAGTGGACAAGGTGACAAAGTGCCTGCCTGAGGAGCCTTCAGAGCCAAGGCTCAGTGGCACAGCTGGACAGATGTGCCCTTTGCTGGGCAGGCTCACTGCAGGCAGCACACCCAGCTCTTGGTGCTTTGGCAGAGCCTGCCTGCATTCTGCAGCCACACTCAGCATGTGCTGCCTCCTGGCTGGCTGGGGAATTCTCCCAGAGCCAGGCAGCCACAGTCACACAGGGAAGGGCTATCAGCATCTCATCTCAAGAAGCAATCCAGCGTGGGATGAAGCTCTCAGTCACCGCACAGCAAAGGGCCCTTGGTGCTAAGCAGGCAGGTTGCTATTCCTGGTGTGTAAAGAAATTCTCCTCATCTTTTCCATTACAGAATGCTTAATGGAAAATGTCAAGAAGCAAGGTTAAAAAAGAAGAAAGTGCTTGTTTAAAGTGCTAGATTGACAACCTATTTATTCACAGAACAGGCAGAGTACAGGCAACAGCAGTTCGAGTGTCTCACACTTTTCTAGCTGCTGCTTTTTGCTGCTGAAGGTGCAACACTAATGCAGCCTCCCTCCTCTCTATCTCCAGCTTGACTGTGGAATTGGAAGCTGAGAACTTTACTACAAATACATATGAATTCACAATTAAAACAGCAAGAAAGATTTCAGAAAGATTTCCTAGTGTTGCATCAGGAATCTGCAATGAGCATATGAGAGAAAACAAAAACCATAATATGGACTGTGCTTCATTCAAAAATGGAGGGTGCTGGATATATTTACAAGAGAATACTCCCAGCTTTCATCTGGAAAAATTATTCTGAAATTGAATTGTAAGGTGATTAGTTAATTTTTTAACTCAACAGATTAATTTCCAGTATCTAAGCAGCACACCAAGAATTCTAATCCAATTTTTGATAAATTCTGCACAGATTTCCTTTTTACACTGGTATTTCCACATACAAGAACACATGTCCAGCTTCCCATGCATATATAGATTCTCCATTGCATAAACTACTTTAAACTCCAAAACAAACATTTTAAGTAAACTAAACCATAAAGTCTGCCCAACCAAATTGTGCCTTCAGTCAGAATCATCAGAACTTCCACTTATGGTGGGGCAAATATTTCTGCAAAAAAGGAAGGGAAAGGGCAGCCAGGGAAAGAGAAGTTAGAGAAACCTTTCTCTTTACAAGTTTCCAAACTCTGATGGAAGAGGTAGCCTCTTAGTATAATGAAAAGGAAAAAAAGAATAGGAGAGATGAAGGGAAAAAAATCTAAGAGATTAGAGAATCTTAGAGAAAAGCATTATGCTTTTAGCCTCTGCTCAGTTTCTACATGGAAAACTAGAAGTAAATCAAGAGCATGTGTCTTTTGAGTCCTTCTCATCCTCTGCCATCAGCCATTTATTCTCCAAACAGCATCTCCCAGCAGAGTGGGCTCCCAGCAGCTCTCCCATTTAGTGCACATGTGCACAGCTACATCTGGAATATGATATCTCGTGTTTATCTTTCCACATGACCTCGTTTCACACACCCTGATCCAAAGCCTGCTGGCAGTCACTGGAGCCTTTCCAGTGACTTCAGCTGGGGCTGGATCAGGCAGTCCTGTGGGTGAAGAAGCCCTACAGTGAAGAGTATGTTCTACACACAGTGTTCCCTCACTCACAGGATGCACACAAGTTTCAAGGGGAACATTTACATTTCAATTCTCATCTTCTCATTAAAGCTGTTAACTACAGAACTGGAGCAAATAAAAGTAGTCTGGGATATGACGGTACCAAAAGAATTTAGAGAAATGACATAAAAGCAGTAATGACAATAGCCTGTTTAATTTGGATTTTAGAGGATAATCACTGTTTCCATATTTTCTGTTCATTCCTTCGGTGAGCTGCTGGTATGCCTACAGCTATCTAGCAAATAATAAATGAGGTACATAGAATGAGGTACCTAGCAACATTGAAAATAAAATCATGCTTTTTATTTGCTATTGTTATTTTTTAATCCTTCAATTCCAAAGCCTTCAGGGCTTAGTTAAAGCCAAAGAAAGGGCATACAAATAAAAATGACACAGTGTTATGTTAGGCACAGGCACAAGTCATTTTCTACAGAGTAATACTTCAACTGAAATAAACTCAAACCCCAAACACGGAGCGAAACACATGTCAAGGAACCAGAGTGCTGGTTGAGTGAGGGGTGAGGCCCCTGTGAGTGAGTTTTGACAGTTCCAGAACAGGCTGGAGCCATGCAGAGGCACCAGCCCAGGGCTCTGAGGCAGGGCAGTGACACTGATTGACAAATTGCTGAGAATGAAGCCAGGCTCTCAGTGCAGCACAGAGCCCAGTGCCACTGCCACAGCAGAGCTGCTGCTTCCAGAGAGGCTCAGAGACAGCAGGGGCTTCTCCCTGGCACTCAAGTGTTTGTCACCAGCATGCTCTGACTGGCTGCCTTGATGCTTCTTATTTTTTTTAGAGAAAACATTTTGTTTAAAACTACTCAACACCCTAAATATTCCTTTAAGCTACACATCAAACAAAGAAATAAAGAATAAATATCTACTTGTAGATGTGCTGTGCAGATGGACACGTGCCTGAGTTAGAACTACAGACTGGCCCAGCTACAATTGTATTTATTGAACTGGCTGAAAAAAATAAGAAAGGCTAAAAAGTATCTTTAAAGAGCCCTGAAATCCTCCACTCCAATACCTCCTCTGCAGACAAACAATTAGGAATTTTAAGTAAGATTTCTTAAATTGCCTGGGATATACATTTCATAACATCTATCCTGCAAATCCAGTCTTCTACACATAAGGGCAGAAACTCAGGGAACATCCAACTCTCCCAAGAAAAGAGAGAAAGAAGTAAAGATCACACAAAAGGGAACT